GGAGACGCAAGAGGCCTAAAATAAAACCACTGGAGTCTTGAACAAGGCTCGTACGCGCTCAGCGGAAGGAAACAGCTTTGTACTTAGCGCGTCGTGCGCTTCAGAAAAATTGGGATCATGTCGCAGGTGAGCTTAAGCGGTTCAGGTAATGAAGGGATGCATTTTTTTTCTTCATTGAACTTGCTGCATGGCTTGAAGTAAAAAAAAAACAAAAACGACTGGAGGCTACGACAGTGGAGCAGAAGCACGGCGACGACGTGCGTGTCATGTGACAACGTGATGGAAGCACACAGCCCGCTAGCATTGAGTCGCAGTTTTGACTTGAACAAGGCTCGTACGCGCTGAGCGGAAGGTAACAGCTTTGTACTTAGCGTGTCGTGCGCTTCAGAAAAATTGGGATCATGTCGCAGGTGAGCTTAAACGGTTCAGGTAATGAAGGGATGCATTTTTTTCTTCATTGAAATTGCTGCATGGCTTGAAGTAAAAAAAAAAAAAAAAAGACTGGAGGCTACAACAGTGTAGCAGAAGCACGGCGATGACGTGCGTGTCATGTGACAATGTGATGTAAGCACACAGCCCGCTAGCATTGAGTCGCAGTTTTGGTTCTTGATTGCTGGAGTGTCGCAGAGAAAATTGGTTGGTTCTCAAATCAGGGCTAGAATATATTTTGTCTTGTTTGAATTTTATTTTAATATAGGGAGTAAAACGTTCTTTTGGAAAGACATCGATGACGGATTTCGCTTTTCGCAGCTCGATTACTCGATTAGCGTAAATGAAGTATTTTCTCTCAATAAAAGGCAGCATCTTACAAGAATAGGGTTTGATTTTTGAAATTGTATTTTATTAAAAAAAAATGTGGCTACTTTTGAATTGTTAGAGAATTTCATTGCCATTTGGAGTATGAGAGACCCTTGAGAAACCCGTCAAGGATCCCTGTACGCCATTTGACAACGTACACGGAACTTCCACGCGCGTGCATGAATGCTTAACACGTCACGGATTCTACAATTGCTCCCTCGAGAAAGTCGGAAGACCAACCTGTGCTGCTCTGGATGGTTCTGACAGTCGTGGCGCTACGCGGGGGCGATCCAGGCTTCCTGCTGGCTCCGCCTCCCGCCGCCGCGCGCCCCGTCGCTTCCTCCTCTTCCTCCTGCGAGCATCCCTTCTCGATGGCGCGCACGTAGCTGTGGCTGCGCATGCGGAAGCACCCGGTCATGGGCAGATCCAGCGCATCCACCGCCTGCGACTCCATCTCGCTGAAGACCGACTCGCACACCGCTTCAATCTGCCCGTTCACCTCGACCTCGCTCACCTATCAAAAAAAAAAAAAAAAAAAAAAAAGGACATCTATGTGAGCATGTTCATGACAAAAACAGAAAAGTAATAAAGAAGCAATGACACAACAATACGACACGTTTGTGCCACAAGTCTTGATTAAATCTTCAACATGCACAAACAATAATAATGTCGATATTGCTATGGAAGACCTGGGCCGGTAATCTAGTTAATAAAAGGTTATATTTACCAAGTTCACTGCACACAGAAAATCAAAATCTAAGCTAGCACTCGATATTGCATGTGCAGAACTTAATACTTTACTGGTTTAATTATTATAAGTTGAATGATTGCTAGAAAATTTGCATATTTGCTCGAGGTCCGCCCCACACCGAGCGACATGGTTCAAAGTGACCTTCGTGCTCTTGAACCAACAAAGGTAACGAAAAGCAAAAATATTTTTGCTACTGAAAAAAAAAAATGACAATAGCTAACTGAAAAGTCATACAAACTACACTAAAATGAAAATTTCTCTAAAATGAAAAAGTAGTTAAACAAAACGAGTCATATAACATCACTACAATGAAAAAAAAATCCCAATCTTTTTCAACGAGCTACAAACATGGCGCAACCCTGAACAATGAAGCGCATTTGCCTTTTTTTCTGTCGCAAGAATTCAAAGCCGAGAACTAATAGGAGCGCAAGCTTGGAAATGTGTGCATTTTTATGACAGAGACTCTCCATGCTTCGCTTTCTGATCCGAGACTTGTGAACGCTAGCATGCATTTTGCGAGTGTTGCCATTTTGTATTTGCATGTTTGACTGACTTCTTGTTCAATAAATGGCTGAAAGTGCCTCAGCAACCAACACCGCAACACTGTATAGACCCTCCTCCCCCTTTGATATATATGACACTTTCAGTAGCTTAAAACCACACAAATCAAAATCAACTCTTTCTTACCGAGTTAAACTTTTGTATACTTTACAAGACTCAATTTCAGCCTTTTATTGCCTTGTCTTTGATTGTAATCAAGGCCTAGCAGATTCACAATTTGGATTCACTTCCATCCTGAATTATTCATAGCACCCACAAGTATGCATGTTTAAAAAAAAAAAAAAAAAATTAACACATCTTTTTACGTTGACCAAGCCAAATTCCAAAGAGAATGAGTGCATAGGGGTAAAATCGGGGTCTTCTGCGCATCTTCTTGTGTCATTAGCTTTCCCAAGCTCCAGTAGAGGAGCACACGGACACAAGCACGCTCGCATGCACGCACACGCCCACACAGGATCCAATTGGGAGATGGAAGGCTTCGTTCCTGTTCAAACTTTGTCGCAAGATGACCTGAATGTGAATTCAAGCCTCAGGAAAGCTTGCGGGTAGGATTCCCGCCCTACTTCGCCGCCACAGAACCACCTTACAGGATATAGCATAGGACAGCAATTCTCTTTTGGGTCCAGGGAGAAATTTTCCAAGGAGCCCCTCATAATCTTAGCGCCTACCATGTGTATCCCCTAAACGCCATCGGAATAAAAATAACGTTGCCCGTTATGAGAATGAAGTTGTACTTATCTCATAATGTTTACAAGAACAACGATTTTGCGCTCAGGCCATCTTGTGGCAGCGTGCCTCCAAGGAACTTTGTTGAAGTAACCTGAAGAGCTTCATTTAGACCAAAGTAGCACATGATCATCATCTTGAGGCATCTTGCCTAGGAACTACATCGAAGTGAGCCTAGGTGCTCTGATTTACACAAAACTAGCGCATTTCCGCCAAGACACTATATTGACATAAGTTGAGGAGCTTCATGTAGACAAAGGTGCTTTGTCATCATCTTGTGGCAACGTGGTGCCAAGAGACGATCTTGAAATGACTTGCAGAGCGTCGTTTGGATAAATGTAGTGCTTAGCACACCATTTTGTCGTACCTTTGAGCAAAAGAACTATGTTAAGGCAAGCTAAGGAGTTTCACTTAGACAAAAGTAGTGATCTGCTGTCATCTTTTGGCATCTTGGAAGTAAGGAATTATGTTGACGTGATTTGAGAAGCTCCATTAAGACAAAAGTAGTGTTTTGCAGCCATCTTGTGACATCTTGGTACCAAGGAACTATGCTGACATCAGTTGTGGAGCTTCATTTCGACCAAATTCGTGCTTTGATGCTCTCTTGGACCCTCCTAAGTATCAGTAACTGTGTGTTTTTTTTTTGGTGTGATTTTCAAAAATACAAATTTATTTTTGCAACATTTGTAGATTCATGCCAGGGTACATTACAATCATGTCAGAGGCCCAAAGCGAAGGTAGAGAGGGATATTTGTTTTTGTAATTGTATGTTTGCTTTTATTGGCGCCATATGTGTTGCTAAGCACTTTCAAAAGGATCGGATCATTCATTGCAAATTATTTTGCGGACCCCGAGGGGTTGGGTGACCCCACTTTGAGAAACCAAATGGGGTCAGAGGAATGCGTGTGTGACGAACCTGGCTGATGGTGCTCATGGCTCGCATGTAGCTTTCGTTTCGCGAGCGGAACTTGGGAGAGGCCAGCAGCCCCGCCGGGTCCAAGCTGTCCAGGCTCCTATTGATAGAAACCTCGCTGACCGCCCGCAGATAGCTGTGACTCCTGATCTGCAGCTTGGGCGAGTGCTCCGTGGAAATCCTGAAGCGGCAAGGCGGGTAGAAGGGTGAGAAATAATGTGAGATGAAGCCGTAAGAAGCAGGGAAGGGTGGCGGGGGTGGGGAAGCGGGGTGGATGGTGTTTGTACAGAACGATACACATCAATCCACAACGGTTTCGGGAAACACTCTCCGCTTATCGCATCGCCCGGAGCTGTTGAGGAACACTGACAATGGCTTACACGGAGCGTCCTTGGAGCACTTTTTTCAGAAAGACTTCACAGCGAGAGCGCTCGCGCGCAAGAGGCGCATGACGCGTGGCCTCTTGTGTTCCGGCACAATATGTTCCGTGGCGCCGGCTGACGACGAACTCGAATTAACGAACAAACTGTGGCACAATTAAACATTTGTAAACTGCACCAGCCACGTTTTAAGAAAACAACTTCAATCAGCACTTTCACAATACTGGGAAACACACATTGTGTTGCGTTAGGCCTGACATTTGTTTTTAGCAAATTTGTGTGGGTGGATTTGAGTTTTTCTCCATCATATCAAGTTTCGGAGCGAAACATTTTCCCAGTGCGACATTTGCCATTTTGCTCTCCGCAATTGCCCATTTTCTTCCCTCCTCTCTCTTGTCTTGATTGATGACCGCAACGAGGCGGTGCATGACTGAGACCACTCTAGACATAAGAAGACACGAAGCTTCAAATCATCATCATCATCATCAGGCACCCCCGGCGTTACTGTGAATGGCCAGTGAGCCCAAATCAGGTCAAAGAAGAATCTAACAGCACTGTGATCTTTCGCCACACGCGGTTTCGATTTCCTTCATGGGGCTGATTACATATGGGCCGGCCCAATGATGTCCATTGAGGAGACCTGAACGGCGCTCGTACTTAATAATCTGTGGAACAAGTGACATAAATGACGCTCAGCCAATCAGGAATCAGTCCTGCTGTGTTGATGGAATCCCGTCACAAGCTCAATTTTGTCCTTGACCCAAGCAACCCTGTTCCCAAATTTCAGCTTACTTGAGCGTGGTCATCTCGGTGAGCGACGGTTGCGTGGCTTTCAGGTAGCTGGCCCGTCGCGCCTGCACCTTGGGCGAGGGTTTGGGACTGCAGTCCGAATCGCCGCTGTCGTCTTCGGCCATGGCTTTGATGTAGCTGCCGCTTCGCATCCTCCGGCAGGGGATCTCGTCATCCTTTGCCAGTGGCGAGAAAGCACCCCAGTCATCCTGAGGTACCTGCGCGGCGGAGGGATTACGCTGTCAGATTGAATTAGGCTTGTTTTAAGATCGGCAGTCATAGCTGAGATGATTGGTGAGCAAAGTTTTTGGGCATATTAAGACGCTGTTGTTACAATAAAGCTTAAAGGTGTTTTTGACATTTTTGGGTTTCTGATTCAAACACCGCCTAATAATTCCCTAACTCTGACCAACGGGTCCTTCAAAAGTCACACTTTGAAAATGAAAGTCCATATTTTTCAGTATTTTTCCAATAGTGTTAAGACTTTTTTTTTTTTTGTCTGTCCTCTGAATGCACTTAAATTATTGATCGCCCCCCGGCCACTGTCTTCCGCTCCACTGACTGTTCGCACAGGGCAACGAAGGTAAACCTCAGGCCCTCATCTGAAAGAAGGAAAGCGGAGAGCAAAGAATGGGCTTGTTTAGACACCCCCCCACCCCAAAAAAAAAAAACTGAAAATGCATCTGCAATGTGAGCTACTCTTACCACAGCAGCTCTAAAGTCAATGAGATGCATTAGTCCTGAGCCACTTCCAAATGAACGGAGCTTCGCGAGGCAACCGGGCTGACATTGACATCAGCTAACATACAGTGGTACCTCTACTTACGAACATCTCTTCATCCGAAATTTTCAAGTTACGAAACATCTCAACAGGAAAATATTGCCTATTATTACGAAATACATTTCAAGATGCGAAAGTTAAAAATACAGTTTGGGCTGCTGCTCGCAGCTCCGAGTTTCCTGAATGCAACATACTCATAGCTGCTCTGCCATTGGCTATTACCGAGCATCATCCTAGCATCCCATTGGCTAAGAGGGACCTCTACCGTATGTGTCTATGTGTGTAGATAGAGAAAAATGTGTCAATGCAGCACCCTCGTCATTTTCCCCTCGAGCCATGAGGCGTTGTGATAGTTTTACGTAAATGTGAATCACCCAGAAAAAGTGTTCACCCATCGGGTGATCGCTCACTATGCTAATGTCTGCCTTGGACATTTTCGAAAGATTGTTAAAATCCGACAAAAGCAAACGTCCTTGGATCAGTTCTTGACAAAACGCCAGGCAAAAACCACTTTTGAGGGAGAACAAACTAAAAATCGATCACGCAGTTAAAAGTTAAATGACCATCATTTTTATGATTTTTTTCTTTGATTTTTACATTATGCACAACTTAAAATTTTTGTGCGATAATCTAATTGTAACATGGATTTATTACATATTTTGATGCGTCTTTATGCTTTAGGAAACATTTATGTTTGAATTTTTGGGGGGCATGGAACGAATTAAGGCATTTACATGGAAAACGCGTCTCGACTTACAAGATTTTCTCCTTCAGAAATTTCTTCCAGAACCAATTAATTTCATAAGTAGAGGTACCACTGTATTGGAAAAAAAAGACCGTGTCTGTTTTACCATTAGCTAAATAAGGTCACGCTTGAAAATCATCAACTCAGATGTGTTCTCCTGCGACTTCAGTTTGGCCATCATCCAAACGCAGCCGACAACATTTTGGCGTGAGACTCCGAAAAACAAAGGACTTTCCTCATCGATTTTTCTTTGGGCCAACGAGTTGCTACAGTGACATTTGTTCCCTAAACTCCCGACTCCATTATCCCCCCGAGCTTTTAAAATGCGCCACCGCGCAGAACTTTTTGCATGATTTTTTTTATGCTTGTGTTTTCCAACTTCTTCCTCAGTGGCCCCGATTTGCTCTTTCTTCGACAGCTCACCCGCCTTCCGCTTGCCTGCTTGTCTCACCGGGGGGCTTTCATGTACAGCTCACTCCGACATGAGGAAATGTACGCCACCAGTCAGACTTTCATCTTCGCCAGCAGAGATCTGAGATAAGGCGGCTTGATCTTAGTACATGTTTGCGTGTTTATCTGTGTAAAATCCGAAAGCGGCTGAAGGCTTTGATAAACACCCATAAAGGTTTGTTCTGCAAAAAAATAATAATACGTCGTTGGCAATGTAGGCTCAGGTCGTGACCTTTTTTTGACAGGATAAAAATCCCGACTTTGGTGAAGAGTCAACAAAACTTCCCCCCCCCCCTTGGGCTGGATTTCCAGAGCAGGTCCAAGTGCTTCAATGTACATTTCAAGTGGCTGTACGGCTAATGGCTCATGAAAGTAACGCCACAAGCGTCATCGGCAGCACAATGAAAGGGAAAATGATGAGTACGGTGGCTTGTCTTATACGGTTACCGTAATTTCCGGACTATAAGCCGTGACATTTGTCACACGCTCTGAAACTCTGAGGCTTATTTAATGAAGAGGCTTATATGAAGATTTTTCTAATGGCCTCCAAGGGAGCGCTCGAGAATGAAAGGTAAGAGTGAGACAAGTTGATTTATACGTGTCGAGGAAGACGTTAACATCTGTCACACTGAAAACAACCGGCCATGAGAGGACGCATTTGACCTGTGTAAATATCTCGTGTTCCAATGTGGGCACCTGCGGCTTATATAGAGGTGCGGCTTATGTGTGTAAAATTTTTTTTTTCCTTGAAAAATGTTTTGGGTGCGGTTTATAATCAGGTGCGCGCTATAATCCGGAAATTACGGTGTATGTGTCTGTGAGTCACAGATCAGTTTGGGATCAGTTTGTGGAATATTTATGGGGAGGGGTGTGTAGGGAATCGATTACTTGCTTTTTTTTTCACTATTCGCAGCAGGTTCTGCTCCGTATCCTGAGCTAATGGCGGAGGCTTACTGTACCGTCACAAACCGAGGACCCCCTGGATATGCGTAGTTCCACGCAGAATGATACAACCACAAACGAGTACATATCACAAATGCGCATGCCGTTTGATGAGGATATCATGATGCAGAAAGCAAAACTTGAGGGTTCACGATGAAGATGAAAGCAAAACACGACTGACTGGGGGGCGGGGGGCCATTGAGGATGCAAGAAAGCGTGACATGCGAGAAGTGGGGCTGCCGTAACTGTCCTACCTGCAGGAAGTGGCAGGTGCGTCCCTGCTCGCTTTTCACTAGTGCTTTTTCTAGGTTGACGGAGGCCTTCTGGTAGACCTCTCGTGCTCGGCTCACCGTCAGAGTCGAAGACCACGAGCTCTTCTTGAGCTGCAACTGGCTGTCCAGTGCGCCCATCAGCGGGAGCGCACCGCCGCCGCCACCGCCGCCGCCGCCGCCGCCGGAGCAGGACGAGCACTTCACGTCGTTGTTGCTGCGAGATGTCTTCAGGGAGTGGGCGCTGATGGTGTTGTAGGACTCCACGAAGTACTGCGACTGCGACTTCTCCGGGTGCCGCCCCATGGTCATGACCCCCGACGGTTGGCCCGCATTGCGGTGGTGGTACAGGCACATCTCCCGGTCCAGGGTGTCATCCGAGCTCCAGTATCCGGAGATGGCGCTACGCATCTTTGGCTCCGACTTGGATCTGTCTTTGTTTTTGCTGCGCTTGTTGTGTTTCAGGGTTCCCGATGAAGACGGCGGGTCGTCGGGGCTGGATTTGCTGCCGTTCATCCTCCCGGTGGTGCCGGATCCGGAGGGTCCCTCCAGGGAGTGGGACTTGGTGAAAAGCTTCTGGACGGAGTGAACAAGGTGGCGGATTCGTCCTGGGCTGTCACTGCGTTGGTGTTCCACTGCCGTGCGCTTGTACTGCAGCGTATGGTAGCCTTCTCGCCGCACCGGAGCCTGGTGGTCCAACTGTTCCAGCAGGTTACACGGGACCCGGTTGTTGTTATTTTTGCCACCGCTTCCTTTAAGCGTTCCCGTTGGCCCCGTATACGGCACCAGAGCCCCGCACTCCTTCAGCTCGTGATGGGAGCTGTAATGTCTGCGAGGGAAGGTGCAGCTGGCCAGATCGGGGTAGGCGCTGCATTCTGACTGAAAGGAGCTGCGCTGGGTGTAGCACGGGCGCTCGGCGGGGTGAGCCTCGGCCGGCTTCAGGAAGCAGGGCTGCCGATCCGAATGGCTACGGCGTTCAGTACGATGGCCGACGCCCAACCAAGGGGCCGGTGGCTTTCCATCAGGCTGCATCGAGACTTGCCAAAAAATCCGATATAATGATCACAGTCTGAAAGAACTTTAATGTGAAAATAAGGCGTATCCGCGTGTGCCTCTGCCAACTCGTCTCAGTCCGGTAACAAAATACGCTCACAAACGTCTTTGGAGAGCTTCTTCAGATCCAAGTCCAACTGATGAGACAGACGAAGAGCATACAACTTCCCAGCTCCCTTTAACTCATTCAATCCCAGCCATTTTCACTGGAGCAACGCCCTCAATCCCAGCGTTTTACTGGATTTTGACTGCTCTTGCAAGGCCCAAAGAATATTTGGTTCTAATGCGTGTGTGCCTCTGCCCACTCGTCTCAGTCCGCAAACGAAATACGCTCACAAACATCTTTGGAGAGCTTCTTCAGATCCAAGTCCAACTGATGAGACAGACGAAGAGCATACAACTTCCCAGCTCCCTTTAACTCATTCTCAAGCTCCCTTTAACTCATTCAACCCCAGCCATTTTTACTGGAGCAACCCCCTCAATCCCAGCGTTTTACTGGATTTTGACTGCTCTTGCAAGGCCCACAGAATATTTGGTTCTAATGCGATATAAAAATGGAGCCTACCAAAATAAAGTTTGGACTCTCTTCTTTCAGCAGAAAAAAAATTGTTTTCTTTTTCCATTCTTCAGCAATCGGCATTACAAAATGGCTCAGTTTCATGAAAATGGCGATTCCTGGGCAAAAAACAGAGAAAAAGGGCTTTTTGTAAAAGCATTTATTTCAAGCACGTGAGGCACCACTGCCACCTACTGGTCGCTTTTGGACATGATTTACAATGCAAACGTCTTATTGTCATTCACAGATTGCATCAGACCCTCCTCCTCTCTATGACGCAAAAAAAAAAAGACAGACGTAAGTCCTTGGTAGGCGGGGCCTAATTTTAAAAAGACGTACTTGTACGTCTTGTGGAATGAAAGAGTTATAAAGACATCATCTACAGGCCGACAGAAAATACGAGCCGATTGATTCTCCCGCACCAAGCCCACTCTGCATAATAAGTGGAAAACGAGGCAATGAAGCCTTTCTAAACCGTCAAAAAGCACTCGCTTTCATTTCCAATATCCGTCCTTTGTGAAATGGGAATTTGCGCAAAGCAAAAATTACTGAGTAAACTGGACTTAAGTAATGCACTTAGGGGGTGTCTATCTCGCATTAAGCAAGATGAGACCGGCTCATTGAAGAGAAATGAGCTGCAGTCACTGTAAAGCATAGTTTTATTTCACCGTATGTAAATAGATTTGGGTCCCTCCTCCGAAACAACACCGGCGAGACACACGTGCTTAGCACCCGTTCAACCTTTTATTTTTGTCCTTCAAAACTTCAAAAAGGGATTATCTCTAAATATAGCGGCAGATTGATCTGCGCCACCCCCCTCCCCATCCGCCTCCCACGTTTTCCTCTCTCCATTGCAGTGTCTCAGAAACAGTGTCGCTGGGGTCGAGGAGCCGTCGTTATTTTCGATGAATTAAGAACGTAATGAGAAAACACTAAATTGCCTCGGCTTCATCCGAACATAAATCCACCGCTCACACACACACGCACACACACACACACACACAAAACCAAAAAGAGCATTTATTTTTCCGGTCCTCCAATCCAGTTTCTCAGAGCGCACATAAACAGAAAAGATAATCACATTAACGTGTCATTTCCACCCGGAGAGAAAACTAATAGGCCGGTAAAAAGCATCTGACATCGTCCTGCACCTGGCGAAGCAATCCGGGCAATAAACGACCTTGACCTCGGCCTCGCCCTCGCGTGGCCATGCGACAGATCCATCCCGCACCTTTTAGCTGTCTCCCTTTAAGAGACTGGAAGCTGTGCGAGGCTAACGAGGAAATGATAAGACCCTGCATAACCTCCCGCGTTGCGCGGTGACGCCGGCGCGCTCCAGCAGGAGCGATTCATTACTCCGATTTATAAAGCGCAAGCATAAGGCCACTGTGCTGCACTGAGGGGGGGGGGGGTTGAACATAACGGAAAAGTGAGACGGAGTAGTGCAATAAAATAACCTATTTCAGCAAATAGCAGCCAGGGATATTTACACACTCACTTGATCTTTTTGTGCTCTTTCTGAAATGCCCCGAGGCGCCACAGGATGGCGCCAAATCTAATCCAGATCGAGGAAAGTCGTACTTTTAATCGGTCCAAGAAGTAAAGTGCTCACACGTGTATTCGTGAGTCACCAAAACCAACCTCTGTTATTCTCTGAAACTGGCCAAACGAAGAAACATCTTGGTGCCAAGGAATTAGGTTGAGGTGAGTTGAAGAACTTCCTGTTGAAAAACAGCAGTGCTTTGTCGCCTTGTGGCATCGACAAGTACTTTAAAAATACGCTGATTTCATAGCAGGGCTCGGTCAACGTGATATGGTGACACACGAATACAATATCAGTATGGTGGTTTTAAAAAGTCTACACACCCCTGTTCCAATGCCAAGTGTTGGATATATTATATGAAGACAATAAAAAAACTTTGCCCACCAGGAGTAGGTGGGTGTTCACTGTAATTGAAAAATTGGGAAACGGATTAACATCAATTTGGTGGCGATGTTAAACCAGGGTCTTAAATCACTTGAGGGGAAGGAATTAAGCCAATGCATTTAATCTAGCGGCCACCCGTCGCTCACACACATTCAGACTCCACTTCTCGCGCAGCACTTCCACAGCAGACCGTGTCCAGCCGAAGGTATTCATCGGCGTGGACAAGCAATCCCTTCTGTTGGCCGCCGGAGCGTAGAATGTGACCTAAATAAAAAACGGCCCTCGCGGTGATGCACCGCGGCGCGTTTGCCGCGCAGCTGTCCGCTCACCGCTGTGCTAAAGCGGAAAAGCCGAAGGTGGGTCACGTTGGCGCTGGGCCTGCTAACCGCACACACACACACACACACACACACGCGCCCACAAACACACAATGACATGCCAAACTGAGATGCTGCCGCCTGGTAAAGTTTGTCAAGCAGAAGAGGAGGACTGCTGGATGTGTCGTGCTTGTCAAACAGCCACCGGTGGCGGGGCATGAACTAATAGACAGCTGTGCCTCTGTGTTACGCTCTGTGGCCATCAGAGACGGATTCATGACCCTGCTTTGGCAGGTGTGAAACGAGGAATGCACGCCTCTAGACCACTCATTCCCATACCACTGTGCCACGATGCGTTACGGTGTTGTGAGAAATGATCAGGTGCGCCGCAGTAAAATATCCAATTCACTTCCTTGAAAATTCTTGTTTATTTATTCCACCTATCTTTGCCAGTGACATATCGTGACAGGCAGAACAATTAAAGCCTCGTCCACTAGATGGCAGTAGTTACAATTGACACGATGAGTAAAGTACATTTGTGATGAAAAAAATCATGACGAAGCTGCTTAAATAGAAATAAGTAAAGCGACAGTAACTGGCCCTGTAATAGTAAACAGTTTCAATTGATTTCTTTCAATCGTTTGTCTTTTATTTTTAGTGCTGATTGCCATGGTTACCGTATGAAATAAGAGGGGGGGAAAAAGACAGCAAAACTCCACTGCGTGCTCATCAATCATAAAAAAGGAACCAAGTACAAAAAGACGCATCAATGCTCACGTCAATCATCTTTAACCAATATGAATATGAATATTGAAAAAGATGAATATTTCAAACAAATGGAAAAATGAAACGCAGACCCTTCCCTTCCCCAAGAGAACCTTGTCAGGGAACGTTTTACAAGACGGCGCAGGAAGCATTAAGAGACCTGGTGAATGTGCACATTATGTCAAAGTGCTTTTAAGCAATGTCAGGAGAGGCCCAGCACCACCAGTTTAAGTCTCATTTACTGCTGCCATGTTGCTAGGGTTTCCTTCCTCTGGCAGTAGTTGGCATTTTTTTAACCTACTTTTTATGAATCTGTCCATTTTCTATCCTGCTTGTCCTGTAGTACAACAGTAAAAGTCATGATTTATCAAAAAATCCCTTCTAATGTAAACGTCACAACGGATGTTAGCTTAGCCATGCTAGGTAGCTGCCTTGGTAACCTAAGAGGTTGCTCGTCTAACATTTCAAGACAGTGTCCGGATTTTAGACATTCTCTTATACCATCCAAGAGAATGTCCAAGTTTGGGAAAATTTCACACCCACACACACACACAAAAAAAAAAAAAAAAAAAAAAAAGATTAAATGCAAGGCGTATAATAAGAACAGTTGTATAATTGCTAACGCTGAAGATAGCTAAGCTGAAGATCGCTAGATGTTAGCTAATTTAACATGGCCAAGCCACTCCTTGTCCTGTAGTACAACAATAAAAGCGCTCTCATAATTTAATATGGCCTCCAATGGCTAGTGAGAATGTATTGTAATGTTAGCTGAATCACTTAACGCACAAACCGGCCGTTAACAATCAGCAAAGTTTCGACTCGCATTCGCTGATGCCCACGTCACTCACCGTCCCAGGCCCTGCCTTCTAGCCATACACAATTCATTACTCAAATAAGCAATGAAACGATTATGTGGATACTCTATTCTAAAATATTGCACAACACAACGGGGGGTGTTGTGTTGTGCAATATTTTAGTACCACCCAAAAACAAAAAGCATGCGAAAAATGGATAGAAAACAATTTCAGGGCAAAAAAAAAAAATACACATTTGTTTGATAGATTGAACCTTAATATAACCCCTACACAAGCTTTAATCACATTGAAACTTATCCAAACACATTGTAAATGTATTTCACCACACAAAAATCTGCAATGTAGCATTACTGTATTGATTTTTTTTTTTTTTTAAACAGGTGACAAATGTAAACGCCTCAGTGCCGCAGAGAGGAAAGAGTCTGCATCACCACAAGGATCCTGCTCCATGCTAGCCTGCGATTCAAATGGCATTCAAGTAACATATGTCCAATGCAACTTTAATGCAGCCTTTGTCAAAACACTGGCAAACCAAACGGCTGCTTGGCATGAAAATTGAATCTGATGCGTCATAAATAAACGTCCGTGTGGACGGACGG